GAGTATACTATATTGATTACGGAGAAAGAAAAATTTGCGGCGCCAAGACTTTTTGTGTAACATGGGGCTAGCGGAGCTGTAGCCCGGAACGTCACGCGATCCTCGACAAACTCGAGAAATGGACAAAAAAATATAGGTACCCAGTTGAAAACTAAAATAGCAGTACCTACTAAGTACGACACATAACACAAAAAAATGTCAGATGCAAAATCTGCAGGTCGCCTGAAAGTGTACAAGCGCAACACAATACATAATATGCTCGAGTGTATGTATTGCGCGGCAATGGAATTTAGTAGAGAGGAAAATTGATGCGACCGCGTCAGTCACGTCATTGTTCACAATACCGAGTAGTATATAATATTATGAACTTCATACGATATCAAAGGTATAATATAAATTGATATGGTATACCTTATACACGTTGACCGGCGATTGTATAAGCCCGATGCATAAGTATGCAGACAGACAGAGAGAGAGAGAGAGAGAAATTACACGCGCGCACGCCACGCCGTTTAGCGCGCAGGGTTGGGTGGGTGGGTGGGTGGTGCTTCTTCTTCTCGCGCAATTGTATAGATATTTTACATGGACATGGGTGATGTATATAGGCGGGCATTGCGAGGAAGCGTAGCTCGCTTCCAGGCCAGTCTGGCTTTGCGCCTCCACCCGTCAACACCGAGTCGTTTTTGTTATCGCGCTAACCACGAAGAAGGAAAAATACACACAGAGAGACACGCATTTTCCGAGACCGAGAAAATTTTGCACGAATGTGACGTTCTCGGTGATATCGTTATCTGCAGCCCGACTTTATTTCCTCATCCATCCCACCGGCTCCAGAGTTGACTGCCGCGATATCAGACGACCTCGGGGACCGCCATCAAGTCGATCGATTTTCAAGATTATTCTTGCTCGACTATACAGCACGAGAGGTATGCGAAACACCTGACTCTCCCCTGGAGTTGTACATTTTTATCATCATCATGCTTGCACTTTCGATTATCCTACTGTGCTTATTGTGCACATGGTATACAGGTACTAATATTATTTTGCAGTGTAAACTACGTAGCTATAGTCTGTATGTGACTGATTGTGGTGCGAGGTTTCCCCCCCCCACTCTAATGTTATACTTTCTACATTACCTACTTGTACGTGTATACGCAGTAACCATTCGGCAGCGAATCAGTTTTTCCTACAGTTGCGATAAATATATTATTGTTATTACTTGGTTGGCTCGTTAATTGGCGTATCTTGAAACAACTTGTCTTCATTATTACGCAACATAAATAATACTCAATGTGCTCTTATGCCGTTTGTCGGAAAGCAATTTATTGCAATTTTTTTCTCGTCTGTTTTTAAGGTCTTGTTAACACAAGTGTAACACGTTATTAATCGCGATGCACCACATCTATAAAATCTTATCGCGATGAATCAATTTCATCAGTAATGGATTGATTATTAAAACATTTTTTTTTTTTTTTTTTTTTTAATTTCCTTTTTAGATTTTTTACTATCATTATTATTGTAATCAATTTTTATCACGATAACATAAACGGTTTCGGGTAAAGAATTTCACTTTGACGGTGCTATCGCAGAAAAAAAAGTTTTCTTTTCAATTTTAAGGTAGTATATAGTACGCATACTCTTGCTGCAGGCTGATTTTTCTTGACGATAACCACTACTTGGGGTTTTTTTACTCATAGAGTCACTGATACCAAGTATTAAGTATCTTATACACATATACAAATCGAGACAAAAAGTTATCTTTTCCAGACAACTTTCTTTCCATCGCTTTGTGACTTTTTCAATAAATTTGTCAAATTAAAATAATAAAACTTTTTTTTTGTTTGTTTTTTTTCTCCAAAACTTACACTTATTTGTTTTTTGGTTTCCCATACATTAGTAGACAACAATAAGAAACCTTACGATATATTATGAATATACATTTATTCGTATCTTTGAGGGTTCAGTTGTAACGCGAGCCTCGAACCTTTAAGACATGTAAATGAATAAGGCGGTGTTCGATTGCTCGCGGTATTGCGCAGAAATAGAACTGCCTACATGTACCTATATTGCTGCTTCTTCTTTGTGCAAAAATAAATGGGCCTGCTCGTTCGCAAGCAAGTATAGCAACCGGCGCGAACATATATGTATATATGTGTATATATTACTGTGTACACGTGCACGTACAATATGTATATAACGCGTTCGTACGCACGCACGCAGCACTTGACATTATGTGATGCGTGTAAGTAGGCTATGTTTTTGGTATGGTAAAAGCTACCAGCACCTCAAAATGATACAAAAAATAGTACATTACGTACGAGTTTGCAAACTTGTAACAAGGTTCGTAAAGAAGCCTTTTCGAACGAGTTTCGTATAATATTTTTCCGCCTGAGAACTCAAAATCAAGCGGCGAAGGTGCTATTTTGAGGTTAGAAGGCGGAAAAAAACATTTTCTTCTGGCAAATTGAAGTTTTCTGTCCAGTTGTAATACTTACGTATAAATGTATTAGAGTTACGCGGTTACAGATAATTATAAGGAAAAAAGTAGTAGTACAATTTTTGTGGAAATTATTTAGATGCGATCGCGATAAGTAGTGGGTGCAAAAGGTGCCATTGAAATTATACGTAGATATTATTATAAATTTTAAACTGAAAATATGTAACGTAATGGGGTCGCAGTCGTCGCCGGGATATCGTGCATTTATATACACATGAGCGCGCCGCCACCCAAGCGAGCAGCTCGCTGACGCTATACTTTTGCTGGTCCGTGGTCCTGATCGATACCATCTATACCTATATACATGTGCAACTAAAAGTCTGTATATAAATATACTTATTTGGCTCTTCCGCTCTTTTTCTATACATACATATTGTATAAAACAGCGTACCTATACTCAATGCCGGAGGGATCTGCCGCCACTATATGCTTACCGTGCACATAAATAATCCTTGTATTTATGTGTACCGAATTTGTCCTGTCTTTTATAGTTGCATATACAAGAGGGTCTTGGGCATTATTTTTATTAGGTGACAAGGTTAACAAATGCAAACCAAATGAAATGGCAAATTTCTTTTTTTTTTTTTTTTTTTTTCAAATTGATAGATCTATGATAAATCGTACCTGAAACAAAACGATTCTATATTTTTATCAAGTTTTTGACCGAAGAGTTGAAAATTCTGTGCAATTTGGAATTTTTAACTTCATGTATGATAATGACATAAGGGTTATTGACAAACCGAATGGAAAACTGTACAATATAGACATGCAGTGCCCCCGTCTCTCTATATCTTACGCGATGATATTATTATTATTATTATTATTATATACATAATATAAACAATTGATTCCTCCCAATTAACAGTTATGGTGGGAATAAACAAATCAAACGGTCAATCTGATGCTGGCGTGCAAAGCGAGAGTCTGCGTGATGGGCCTGACGCGGAGGGAAAAGAACAACCTCCTCGCGAACATATTGTCCATACTTATATACCTATAGTATAACAGATGGAATAATAAGCCGGCGTCTCTCCCTACAAGCTCACGCAGACGCACCCCCGTTTCTCTGCAAATAGGTATCCTTACCTATTTATTTACGAATCAATAGTTTGCGGGGAGACGCCTCAGACGCCTTGTCGGCGCGGACCCACACTCTGTACACTAGATACCGACGGGTACACACATACATATACATATATATATATATATATATACCTCGCTTTGTAACGCGTGCAGTAGGTATAAGTGTGTATGTAAATATATATAGTGTCGCGCGCTTATCGACTCGCTCCTTCTGCGTGTGTGCTTCTTCAGTTACGTCAGAGTTCCTTGTCGATCCATTCTTTTGGAAACACGAAAAATCAACCCGCACTCTAAGCCCCCCCCCCCTTTCTTTTGATATCGCGGATTTCTTTAGCACGTGTTTACATTGTCCACAATTCGGATTAAATTAATTAATTACAGCTTGCCCGTAATTACTATAATATATTGCATGTATAACTGCAGTGCCGCTACGAATGAACACTTTAAAGAGGTATTTTTTTGCTTTTCGTCGCAGGTGACGTGAGGGCAGGAGGTATAAAAAAAAATTATTAAATTTGTTTCTTCACATGTCAAATACAGAGCCTTTTAAGTACAACTTGTATATATGTATATGTAACAACGCGTTGTATAAATAACTTTGCAAAAAAAGGACGACGTGATGAATGCGCATTTAAATAATAACTAAAAAGAAGAAAGTTTCTCAGCAACATATCGATTCATCTAATAACCTGAATTTCTTTGTAAAAACACAATCGCCCAAACATTATTTATATTGTTGATATTTTTATTTAACTTTTTTTTTTCTTTTATATATCTGTGACGGAAAAAACAGTGATTCTACAAGCCTTATCATATTCAACTGCTCTCTTATTTTACTTGTACGTTAATACGTTATAAGTATAGATTTTTTTTACTCTGGTAGTCCACTCTGACATTCAAATGAGACATTATCAAGACTCGATAGAAAAAAAATCTTGTTTATTTAAATGTAAAAAATTAATGTGCAATATTTTTTATTAAAAAATGTCGTATCACTTTTCAAAATTTAAATGCAATCGCTGCAATTATAAGTACAAGTATTGGTACGTTCATGGGTACGTAAAATAATTATATTGGCATACATGGACAAAGTTGTTGTATTTATAACGGAACTAAAATTTTGGGATGAAATCAACCCCTAATTAAATAAATGAGGTTTCCAAGCATTAATTTTTCAGTATTGCCATTACAACTAATTTCGTACATTATGCAATGCTTTTTAATAAACTACTCAGTGAAAAGTAATGAGATGCATATAAAATTATTACACAGTACAGTATGTTTTTACTATATTTTTTCTATCTTTTCTTTGTTGCCCTGTTTATGATATACAGTTGTGATGATTAGTTTATTGTACAAATGTACATGTAAAATCAGGTGACGTACCATATAAATCTATAACGTAAAATTAATTATGCAGCAGGCACCAAGTATGAGCTACGGCGAACCGTGGTCGCTTCCAGAAAAGAAGGGTCTCTACGATCCAACCCTCGAACGGGATGCTTGTGGTGTCGGCTTCATCGTTGCCATTGACGGCAAACGCTCTCACAAAGTACGTACAGCGCGCTACCATATATTTATAATTTATTTGCCTGGTTATGGTTAAATTATTTATGATTTTTTTAATTTTATCAATTTTAATTGTAGATTGTTCGCGATGCAGAGACGTTGTCCGCTCGCATGAACCACAGAGGTGCTTGCGCCTGTGACAATGACACCGGAGACGGAGCCGGTGTTTTATGTGCTATACCACATCAGTTTTACGCCAACGAACTACGGTATAACCCAATAACCATTTCAAATCGATCGTACTTTCTTTTTCTTTATAGCACGGTTACTTACACCTTAATGAATTATTTATAAACCAATCACTGTTATCAGTGACTTGCAACATTTTTTCGCACATGAAACTTTTGTATTTTCACGCTAAATTTTTTTTTAAATACATGGATTTTACAAAAGATTATATATAAATGATAAATGAGGACTGAGCAGCCCTGGCGCCCTCTAGATTTAGTTTTCACCGAATATGGCAAATATTCCTCATTACCTTACGAGCGAGCGTCATATATAATATTAATATTATACACTTGCGTGACTCTTGTGACTGTCGTTGCAGAGAAAAGCAAGGGATCGACCTTCCACAGTTGGGGCAGTACGCGACTGGAATTCTATTTCTAGACAAGAAAACTCACGAAGAGACAGAAGCTGCTTTTGCAAAAATTGCCACAGAATGTAATCTACGGGTAAGTAAAATCTTTCAAGTGTATATTTACGTTTCATGAAACAAATTGGTTTTTTATGGTAAGATAACCTTAAATCTGTAAATAAAACATTTATTATTGAAAAACGTTTTTATATGGTAGCAGTATACTTAGGTGTGTAATCATTTTTCGATCGTAGATAATCTGTTGGCGTGACGTACCCACGGATAGTTCCGTCATTGGTCAAGTGGCTAAAAAATGCGAACCTTACATGCGCCAAGTCTTTGTGACTGGCGATCAAGAAACCGCGGCTTTAAACCGCCAGGTAAATTTGCACAATATTTTACATGACCTGAACATTGGTCTTGGATTGTTATGATATCTATCAAATCGTCTCTTAAAAATTTTCTTTCGTGAAATAAGTACTGCCCGCTCTTTCTTTTGCGACGATGAACAATTATTTTTCCTCAGGTATTTGTCCTGCGAAAGAGGTCGTCGCACGTTATACCCAAACCAGGCTTGAGATACTACATTTGTTCTCTGTCCTTGAAAACAATTGTTTACAAAGGACAGCTCACCGCCGATCAACTGTGGAACTACTTTACAGACTTGAAGGTGTGAATTTTCAAAAGTGATTAAATTTTTTTTTTCAATTTATTGATGTGGTGACGCTTGGTTTGTATTCATTATTAATGGCATTTGTTATTATTTCAGTCGCCAAAATTCGAAACTTCTCTGGCACTTGTGCACACTCGCTTCTCTACAAATACATTTCCCAGCTGGGAGAGAGCACATCCACTTCGGTAAGTCCATAAATAGACACCTTCAGATGGAGGCTAATTTTGCCAACGAATCTAAACTGTATTGTTTTCATTCTCCAGACTACTTGCTCACAATGGGGAGATCAATACGCTACGGGGTAACGTGAATTTTATGAAGGCCCGTGAAGGAGTGATGAAGAGTAAATTATATGGTAACCAGCTAAAAAATCTTTATCCAGTTGTGGAGCCCAATCTTTCAGACTCGGGATCCGCTGATTGTGTGCTCGAGTTTTTGGTCATGGCTGGAGAGCGTTCTTTACCAGAGGTAATTAATTACTGATGGGTTTTTTTGTTTTCCAAACTTTTTATTTTACTTTTTTTTTCTGTCAATGATTATACATTGGATCCAATTAATGATTTAATATTGATTCAACTTTTTAAATGAGATTTTTGAATTGTTGTTATCAAAAAAGGCTTATACTTGAAATGAAAGTTATACGTGTTGAAAAAAAAATTTTGTTTAGGCGGTGATGACAATGGTACCAGAAGCTTGGCAAAATGACTTGACCATGGCAACCGAAAAGCGAGACTTTTATCACTGGGCTGCATGTGCAATGGAGCCGTGGGATGGTCCAGCGCTCCTTACTTTCACCGATGGCAGATACGTTGGTGCCATTCTGGACAGGTATATATTGAAATATATGACACAGTCTTTTTTTGATATGAATTTGCTTTCATAAACAGTTGACATCGATTCAGCCAAGGAAAAAAATTGACTTGAAAATCATCAAAATAAACCTTTCGAGCCATCCGATAAATTGATATTTTTTTCTTTAAATTAATGATTTAAGCACAATATTTTTAAATAACTAGTTGGATTGGAATTCAATTTACAGTTGAACCCTCTTTCTATTATTTAATCACTCAATATTATGCCATGATACAAAAAAAATGAAAAAATTGTTAATCCTCTCGTTGGTATCTAAAAACTCACAATTTGTTGAATATTTCATTCTCAAATTTCGTACTATTGAGCTTGAATTTTTGTATCACGGTAAATTTAACAATCCGTTGTCCCCTTTCCTTAAAAATCCTTTTAAAAATTCAGCTATTACGACAACATACTTCATACTTTGTTGTGATATAAAGTGATGGATAATAAAAAAGGTTCCACTGTAAGTAAGGGTGATTGGCTCGTTGAGTTTTGTTTTGTCACTACAGAGTTTACATAATGATAAAAAGGAAAACAAATAAGTAAGTAGATGGTGTATTTCGTGAAACGACATTGACTTGTAGAGACAATCGGACGGTTCGTCCGATCTTGATCGAGCGCCTTCTGCGTCGGTTGACACAGTGAGAGAAAGAAAGAAAGAAAGAGAGAAGACCACTGAGACACTCGTACAAGCATTGTCGTTCTCGCTGCCATATACCGCCTACGAGTGAGCTTAGTGGGGTGGTAATCGAAAATGAAAGATGCTGCCGTCGAGAGCACAGGGAAATAGAGTGAGTCTGTACAAATATGACGAGACAGGTGGAAAAAGGGCAAGCAATTAATTGCGTAAAAAAAAAAAAAGGCAACCAAATTTTTGATTAAAGTGTACTCGAGCGGATTATTACAACACAGCGCTGTCATAGACTGAGGCTTGGTAATACAAAAGACTTTTTTGAATTTTTGTTTGGCAGAAACGGCCTGCGCCCGTCGCGCTTCTACGTCACTAAGGATAATGTGATGGTGATGGCGTCCGAAGTGGGCGTCTATGATACTCCACCCGCCAATGTTGTCCTCAAGGTAAACAAGGAACTTTTCGAGAAATTGACAATTGCAAACTCCACTACATGGAGATGTTGGAGCTATCACGTTATGGGAATGCTTATGGCGATTTATGAAAAAAAAATGGTCTTCTCTCAACATCACGCATACACACACACTACTTTTACTCAAATTCCTTTTCCGCAATCAAGTACTTGACGATGATTTCAGCTTCCAGTTGTGTGGAATCATTATTTGGCAAAGCCAACAAAGAGGCAGGATAAATTTGCAGGAGACCTGAGATTATCGAGTCATTTTATTGTAGTAGTTGTATCAGGTTGACAAGTGATACATATTAATTTCCTTTTTCTTTTTCCGTTTTTGTAACTATTGATCTTGGAGTATATTTTTTTTTATCATCAATTGCCTTTAATGTTTTTTTTATCTACATAGAGTAACATTATTATAAATTATATAAATGGGATCCGCTGATTGTGTGCTCGAGTTTTTGGTCATGGCTGGAGAGCGTTCTTTACCAGAGGTAATTAATTACTGATGGGTTTTTTTGTTTTCCAAACTTTTTATTTTACTTTTTTTTTCTGTCAATGATTATACATTGGATCCAATTAATGATTTAATATTGATTCAACTTTTTTTTA